CAGGAGGCCAGGATTTAGACAGAATATCCGGACAAGTCTGTCACAGCCAACCATGGTAGACTTGCTTAAATGACTCAGATCATACTTCGCAATTAACGACAGCCATCGTGGTCTTGGAATACCATGCCAAGAGAGAAGAGAGAGATGTGAACTTTCCAACATGCCTTGTTGTCAGGTCTCATTGCTTCAACTAAAAATGCTTTTGAAGAGCAATTTATACACACTAACATGCTCAAACCAAGTGACAGGACTATGGAGCCTTGTACAACTAAGAGGCAAACGCACCAAGTTTCTTACCCTACTATGTTTTTCTTCCCCACCCCCCTCTCGCTCTTCCTCTGAGAGCAGATGTGCCTTTTTTCCAAAGTTTTTGTAAGGCTGGGCTGAGAAACAGTGAAAACTGAAATATTAGAAAATGAATTTAAGCTGGAATCATGACTGTTTTCATGAGAGAGCCACACAGAACTCTCAGTCTTAGTGCTCAAGAGTAAATACTCAGACGTACAGGAGATGCCTTCACTATGTCCCCATGATGAGGGAATGCAATCATCAACAAGTACAGTGCATGGCGACAACATACGGCTCAGGAAATCAGAAGGAGCTGGGATCTCAATGGCTGATGAGCAGAGGCAGAGCACTAGGAAAAGGCCCCACCATCCTGGGACACTGCATCTGGAATTTACTTGCAGGAACTCGTACTCAAGACAACCAGTGATAAACATGCAGATACTGAGTAAGACAAAGCAGGGTCACCTGTGGCACTGTTTCAAAGCAGAGGAGGGCTGTAGGGCAACAGAACCAATCTGCAGCTCTCATGTGGCAGGACTCTAGCACTGTGTTCCTAAGGGATGTTTATGCTGAGAACAATAACTAGATAGCAGAGCTGGATGGTGAGAGTTGTGACATATTAACTAAAAGTAGACACATGAAGAACATGCCTGGAGGACGAGGAAGGCAGGACCAGTGACTTCAATATAAACTCAAGAAAACTCAAGGGGAAACCTTAGCTCCAGCTGACAATGACTTTACAACATCACAGACTGGGTCCCAACATGCGAGACACCTGCTCAGAGGGAAGGCCAGAAAATCCAAAGACAAAGTACCATGACAGCACAGCACATCTAACAGATGCGCAACAGCTGGCAACTGCTGCTATCGTGATAGGACAGAAAGAGGCAGCGAGGTGGAGACAGCAGAAAGCCTCTTCCCTTCATCTTCAATATACCAAAGCTTGGAAACACACTCAAGTATGGCTATGGAAATATTGAATAGACTCTGGGGACAAAGTCCTCATTCACCTTAGCTTTATAAACCACGGCCTCTGAAAACATTATGCAATCATTCTCACAAACTCGGAGGGCACAGGACTACATGAACCGAGAAAAGAACTCTAACAAGAATGACAGCTGAGAGTCCACCAAGAAAAGTCTAAGCTGCAGGGAAATTATTTGCAAATAACCCCACAAGCACTTTTGATATTCCCAGAAAAATTTCATAGAAGAAACAAATACAAGCATAAGTAAAGGCACAGAGTCCCTCCTGTATCACAAAGATACAGACAAGGATCATCCCTCGTGATGAAAGCACTGGCCTACAAACTGTAGAGAGGCCCATCAAAACAAATTCTCAAAACACTTTCAGCTCTGCTCACCACTGTCGATCAAGAACTGGAAATCAGTTACATTAGATTAACGTCCCCCAATGAATTCCAGCAGTCATTACCATGTAGTAACTAGTACCTGATCTTTTTTTGGTGGCAATTTCTGGGAACATATATACTTTTAAGTGAGTTCTACAATTCAACATGACGTGCACTCTAAACCCATAGTCTTACAAGATTGTTTTAATTAATGTTAACTAACTTGTACCAGTATCTATAAACAATAATCCATGATATACCAAGTAACAAATCATCCTATCAAAACAGTGCATTTTGTGTATTCCTACCCCAAATATAATTTCAGAATGTATACAACTTACCTACTATATCAGAAAAACTTGGAAGTTCATCATACAAATTTCAGATTTATCCAAATAAAAATATCACTTAAAAAAGTAACTGTGTTGTCAAAATATATCTAGTAATCTGTTGGGGAAAATAATCCACGTTTTTACACTGATAATGTTCTCAGAACACAGCAAGCATGGGCAGCAGTGAGAGGCCTGAGTATGACCACTAAGCAGCCAAAGAGCTGGCACACAGAGGAGCCAACAGTAAGCCCATGCCAGGGAAACCATGAAATAACAGCATCTCTCCACAGGGACGGAAGCGAGACAGAGACGAGAGGAACCCATGACAACTGCAGTCAGCAGCAGGGACGGTAGGAAAATCCATGTGGAAATGCTGCTACAAAGTCAAAGACACCAACGCGGGAGAGGTAGGACAGACAGCAGCACTACAATCACAGAGAAGGCGGACACTGCTACAGCGCAACAGTTTACTATAAAAACTATCAGCCTACTTGGGACATAAGGATCTACACCTGCCACAGTCCAGCTTTTCCAAGACAGTGGTCACTGACGAATGCGGGATTTGCTGGGAGAAGCAGCTGTGAGCACTTTAGTGTGTGTGGACTCGGGGAAAGCCATCTAGCGGGAGGATGAGTGTTCGGGGAACACACATCTGACCTAGATTCACAATTGAGTCTTGTGATCTTCACCCTAACGCCATCAGCATCATACCAATTTACAGGTGTGGAGATGGAGGCAGAGTCAGGTGCACATGGCCACACATCTAGTAAATTCAAGAGAAAATCACACAGAATGAGTGATAATTGTACTTATAAAGTGTTTAAACTAAAATCAGTATATAATTACTGAAGAATATGCACATTTATATCATTTGTTAAAACAGTTAAAAGTAAGAATGTAGAAAAGCCACACATCATCTAATAAACTTTTAAAACTGGACTCATTTTTTACTGTTGTAATATTCAAACAATTTATGACAAGCCCAATATCTTCTGTTCCACAGCAATGCAGAATGACAGGAAGGTCTTTAAGATACAATCAAATTAAAATACACTTGTGGTATTTTTGAACTACAAAGGAATGCCAATTAATATTCAGGTCCAGAAGTCTTTGCCAATGTGCTACTGAATTAGTACTTACCCATTTGGGTCAGGGGTTTTATACCGGTCCATAAAAACTGGCGTCACACCACACAAATCCAGGGTGGACAACATGGCTAGACATGGCCAATTTTTGCCATACCACATAACAGTGACAGACGTATCGTTTAAGGAAAGATCAACGTGTTGCATGATGTGTTCCTTTCCACTTTTTTCTCTTAATATAATTGCCCAACCTAGGCCAGACAGTCTAGAGAAAGAAAAGAAAGCTCAAAATGCTTTCAAAGAACGAACTCTAGATCAACACACACACTTCGCATGCCATTTCCACAATACCTACTTCTTTAAAAGACAAAATTCAACATCCTTGGCACACTCCTGACATATTTTCATTTCACCCACAGCACCTTCTGAACCTTTTTCCTCCTAGCAAATACTCCCTGAGTATCTATGATGGTCCATGACTGGCAGTTCAGACAATGGAAGGACACCTTCAACACTCTAGCTCTACTCCATATCATGAGGCTGTTTCTGCTGTTTATAAAAACGTGAGCCAACATCAAAATATTGTACATTTTACAGACACAAAAACACACACAAGAGAAAACTATCAGAGATAGTCCCATCTAATACAAACTGTTCATGGGACCCATTTCCCTAGCCTATGTAAGATCCAAGTCTAGGAGTGTAGCTCATGGGACCCATTTCCCTAGCACATGTAAGATCCAAGTCTAGGAGTGTAGCTCATGGGACCCATTTCCCTAGCACATGTAAGACCCTAGTTTCCATCCTTAGGCCTGCAACTAAGTAAAAAGCCTGCACGTCCCCGGTACATCTAAAACCCTTGGAAATGACAACATCGGGTTAGAAACAGCAAGGTTCCATGGTTCTGTCCAGGAGCCACTGGAGTGTCCAAGAGTAGCCTACACACCTGAGGGCCTCTTTGGTTTTCACCGGAAGACCTGTGTAGGGGTTGACAGGTTTGAGAATGTGGGCTAGTGCTGCTTTCACAGATGAGATCTGTTTTGTAATATATTCTTTCTTCCAGTACCCAACTTCTTTATCCTCAACTGACAGTACACTCACAGACGTGGCGGTCTCCTCCACTGTTTTAACTTTCCAATGTGATCTTTTTGATGAAAATGCAGCTGAGTAGATCTTGATCCAAATAAAACTTGAAGAAAGGGATAAAATAAGCAATTTGGAAGCACTGTAAAGTACTCATAACAGCAATATATTACATTCGAGATACATAATAATTTTTAATTTTCAAATAGGCTAATTCCATCAATAATTTACATGTCTTCATGTGTACAGTGGACCACAGTCTGAAATGAAATGTTTTAGATGCACTATCCCCAAAAGCACATAAAAAAGAGAAAAACCTATTTCCAGAGTCAGGTTTAAATTTAAGAATTCCATGTTATTTGGGATCATCCAAATACTGTCTTTCTGCAAGGTAACTGAGTAGGAGTTCAATCATACAAAAATCAACACTGTACACAAATACAAAATGAGCAAATACCATTACACATTTGTGGTGAAATTTTGTGTTCTAACAAATAAAACTCATCTGGGGGTCAGAGAACAGAACACTCACTAGATTAGATATAGAGGCCAGACTGTGGTGGCACACACCCTTAATCCTATCACTTAGGAGGTAGAGGTCCATCTGGATCTCTATGAGTTCAAGGCCACACTGGAAACAGAGCCAGGCAGTGGTAGCACACACCTTTAATCCCAGGACTTAAGATCTCATGTCTTTGCTTGGGAAGGACACAGGCCTTTAATCCCAAGAAGTAATGGCACGAAGCAGAAAGGTATATCAGGCTTGAGGACCAGGAACTGGAGGCTTTTAGCAGCAGTTCAGTGAGACCCTCAGGGGGAAGGACTCACGAGGCTCTCAGTCTGATAATTCATGGACACAGGATCAGCTGAGGAGTTGGCGAGGTTGGCTGTGGCTTGTTCTATTCCTCTGATCTCTCAGTTTTCAACCCAGTATCTGGCTCCAGACTTTTTACTAATAAGACCATTTAGCAATTCATGTTACATACATTCATTTTGCTTCCTATCTTTAAATTTTTAACAATGCACATGCCCTTATTTCAAAAAGGTAAAATAGTGAAAGTCATTAAACTATAGCAGCAACAGTTAAGTTTTCCTGAGCACACATGTCAACTGTTACTTAAGCAAGTCACACACACTAACTCATTTAGTCCTCCCAATAAACACATGAGGTAGCTACTGTTTTTATCCCCATTGTACAGATGATATCATTGCAGCCTAGACTGGTGCAATCAAATGTGCATACACACATGAAAAATTATCTATATTCATTCCAGAATTATTGCCAAATGCTATCCACTAGTTGATGTAGATAAAACTAAGAATTTCTTACACCTTTTAAAGTTAAGAGACAAGAACCTCCCTTCCCAATTAAACCATGTTCCCTTTCGAGTGTGAAAACAGCTTTAATGAGATCAGAGGATTTACTACGGGTTCCTCACTTAAAGGGCAAACACAAGAACATCAAAGATATATTGGACCAGTCATTTTAGAACTAGATTATTCATTACTATGACCTGAAGAAACTGTAAAAAAAAAAAAAAAAAAAAAAATGGATTCCAGACCACCAAATTACAATCTTGCAAAGCATTAAATTATAATCTTTACAAATGCAGAATAGGAATCCAAAGTTTTGCGTTTTCCCAGCTGACTGTGAAACTGTCTTTCATGGACTAGTGTCTGAGAACCACTATAGAGAATGTTCCCTTCTACCATGCTCCAAGAATACAAAATACTGCAGCCTATCTGTCATTCTCCACACCCTTAATCAAACCAACCTGCATTCTTTTTTTTTTTTTTTTTTTGGTTTTTCAAGACAGGGTTTCTCTGTGTAGCTTTGCCCAACCTGCATTCTTTATCTTGATGTTTTTCCTAACTATCGGCAGGTTCTACATAGAAATCAATATTAGCATAGTCTTTGATATTGATTAAGAGAGAACCCTAAAAAGCCAATAAGTGGGCACAAAATGCTCAGTAGATATTAGGAGGACTCTAACTCTCTCCACACAAGGTGAAATTCTAGGTGATGGCCAAGCTCACAAAGAGAAATAGAAGCAATGGCTTCTCTTTATTCATGGATGCCTGAGAGCCTAACTGAGGGGCCTCTCTGATTCCCACAGTAAGGCCTGAGCATGTTGGGTCTCTCTCCTCCCCTCTCTCCCTCTTCCCATATATCAAGTATATTGGCAGACGATTTGAGAGGAAGAGCTAAGTCCATTTAACAGGGCACCCTCCCACTTTTTTCTCTATGATCTGCATGACCACCAATGGAGAGCACACCATCTGCCCAGGACCAGGTAAAAAGCTCTGTGAATGAATGAGTCTACCACACTCAGGACCCCTAATCACAGATCAAAATTTTATTCTACAGATCCAATAGTAATAGGCTTTATCTTCAGTATATGCAAAGAATATTCTGTATCTTACAGTCATAAATGCAAATGTTTGAAAGTACACGACCACATATAGCATTAGATACATCACTGTCTATTAAGTAACAAAACTAATTCTCTTAACTTTTAGGAAACAGCTAAAATGCCTACTAATTTTCACGATTTCTATTATCACATATAACAGATGGACACAGTATTCTCCTTACTTGTCACTGGCCAAATGATAAAAGCGTCTGCTCACACATCCAGTGCACAGCAAGCTCACAGCATCCAAGTAGGAAAATATATTCAGCAAGATTTCAGAGGGCATTCTGAGAAAGGAGGGAGAAAATTAAAACAAGTTAACCAATACTGAATCCACAAATTACCCAGAATACGACTGGCTATGCATCTCTAAAGAGAGGGCTACAGACACATTCATCTCTTTAATAAGCAAACTGTTCTCTCACCCTCGATTAATTTCTTGATTGTAATTTTCTAGTTATTACCATTCTCATGGCATAGACCAATTTAGAGATTATAAGACACAGAGAACTGACTTTTTCAGCATGTCAACCATATCTGCACACCCAAATCAACAGGTAGTAATTCAATGAGTCCATCATGGATGTATATTATTCTCTGCTGCAAAGCAGGAACTGGAGGATGGGAACACATTCTCACCATGAATAATGCCGCTAGAAATGGAAACATGAACTGTGTTCATACCTAACCTGCATTTCGGGTTCCCATTCGCCAGCCTGCTAAATGTCCTCAAGAGGGACACTGACTGCTTCTTCTCTAGTTCAAGAAAACATCAGGCCTCATAGTGTCTTCTGAAGGGCTTCATGTCTAAATGAATCATGTTATAATGTATTATCAAGATTCCTTCTACTTCCTAGTTGCAGAATTCTACACACACCACAAGAATCAGGCAACATGAGAAATCAGGAATGGGCCTTCAAGCACCTGTATCAGCATTTGGCTGAAGGGCAAATGAACACAGAGCTTTGAAGATTGTTGCAAAAGATGGGAGAAAGAAAATACAGGGATAAAGGACTAAAGAAAACAGTTTGGGGCCAACTTAAAATGGTTTGGCAATCTCTAGTTGTGATTTTAGTAACTGAAATAATTTTATTTATTAATAGAATTCAATGATCAAACATTCATAGGGAAATATTAGTCCTAAGACTCTGAAAATACTAAGACAAAATCATGTGGATCCTTAGAGAAAGGCAGCTAGTTCCACATGTATTTGATACATGCCACCATGTGAGTGTACCCACTGCTCAAGGCTTCTGCAAGAACAGGCAACCTCCCCTCAGTTACATCGTCCCTGCCCTCCCCCTTGAAATCTCTTCTATTCAGAATCAGTACGTTAGACACCTTCCGTGAGAAAAGAGACAACAAAACTGAGGGGAAGTTTGGGCACTGTGCTGGCTGGTTTTACGTCTACTTGACACAAGCGAGTCATCCGAGAGGAGGGAACCTGAGCTGAGCAGACGCTTCAGTAAGACAGGGCTGTAGGCAGGCCTCTAAGGCACTTTCTTAATTGTGGTGATGGGCTGAGACCTCAACCGTGGGTGGTGCCATCCCTGGACCTGCGGTTCTGGGCTCTACAAGAAAGCAAGGTGAGCAGCCAAGGGAGCAAGCAACCCAGGAAGCAGCACCACCAGCCCCACCCCCCACACCCCCATCCCCCACACTCCCATCCCCCACATCCCCATCGTCCTGCACCCCCCATGGCTTCTGCATCAGTTTCTGTCTCAGGTTCCAGCCCAGTCTGAGTTCCTGCCTTGACTTCCCGCAATGGACTAAGATTCCAGACATGTACGCCAAATCAACCCTCTCCTCAAGTTCCTTTTGGTCATGGTGTTTCACCACAGCAATAGAGAAGTAACTAAGACAGTCACTGCTAGGACAATCCACTGCATGTCCTTTCATACGTTAATTGTTTTATAAAAGTCTGTCCCTATTTTTTAAAATTATTGTAATTCAAACAAATTTAGAGTTGATCATAAAGACATCTCAGAAAGGTATGGAGTAACTAAGAATTTATGTGAACAAAATCCCATTCAAGTGAGGCATTAAATAAGTTCCACCTTCTTATCTGCCAGAATTGAACATGGGGGAGATGTGTATCTTATATCTCTATATAATATATCTTGATCCCATCTACCCGTCGCTGTTCCAAGTCCTCTGAATAAGTGATTATAAGTGCTCAACCATTACTGAGACATATCTATGTAAGCAGCTCCGCCACCTTGCAAGGCTCAGGGAACATGCTGGAAGATGGAGGAAAGAGTGTAAGAACAAGAGGATGCAGAGGACTTCTGTGAAATGCTGTCATGTAGACATGGCATGGCTGTTGCTCAAACTCACAGTAGCCCTGGTTACCTACACAAGACCCATATAATACATTCATACTTACTACTTAACGAATTTGTTTCCCAGCTGGAACAACCAATGTTTACACCCACACTGGGTTACTTTCTATTGGATTCTAATTACTTCACATAAGTCACTGGAATGGAGATAAGGAATGATGAAGAAAGAAAGGGGATGAGTAAGTGAGAGACAGGGCAGAACCAAATATGTAACAAGAAGCTCTACTTCAAGAAACTCAGCTGATTTGCATATGTTCATTTTCAATACTATGGTGGTAGCAGTGGTTTGAATGAGAATTGTACCCACAGTCTTAGGCATTTGAACACTCAGTCCAATCCAGTTGGTATCAACATTTGGAAAGGCTTAAGAGGTTGATCTTGCTCGAGGAAGTGTGTCACTAGAGGCAGGCTTTGAGAGGCCTTGCCCTACATCTAGTTCCCTCTCTCTACTTTGTACTTTCAAGATGTGAGCTCTCAGAATTCTGCTCCATGGCCTCTAACTCTCTGGAACCATAAACAAAATAAACTATTTTATAAGTTGCCTTAGTCATGGTGTTTTATCAGAAGAACAGAGAAGTAAGTAATACAGTGACTAAGGTACAAACATGTCTTTGTCCCTGCTGTACAAATGAATCCATTCTAACACTCGTACACACATCATCCCCACCCTTACACCCAGGGCATCTCCTCCGAGAACTCTCACTTCCTTCTACCAAACCACGGTTGCCCTGGACCCCACTCATGTCCTCAAAGCCTTCAGTCCCTCTTCATCCATCCAGGCCTCCGTCTTCTCCGTCATCACATCAGCCTTTGAACTGTGACCAAAATGTCTCATCTTCATATGTATCTGCTGGTCTAACCCCACCTTTCCCCTTCTCGAGCTGCAGCACAACCTCTGCAATACACCTGGCTGCAGAGCTTCTAGGAAACAAAAACAACAAAAGAAAATACCCCAACTTGTCTCCACTTACTGCCTCTAAGCGCACGCCTCCTCCTTTCTGTTTCTTACGCTGTAACTATAAAATCAAAACAACACAAGAGGAAGTGGTTGGCCCTCTCCTTCTGTAACACTCTTCTAGACCCTCCCCTCTCACAGGTGCTCCCTGGATCTGTGGCTGCTTCTCAATTCCCAGTACCTCTGGGCTTCCCCCTTAGACAAGTGTCTTTGTTCTCGCCCCAAATCCCCCAGCGATCCAGGACAGCAGCACTGGACCTGTGGGGTCTCTGCAAGCTCCTTGGTCACCAGCAGGACTCTCTTCTGAACTCCCCACTTCACCGGAATTCTTCCACATCCCTAGCAGTGGGACCTCCATTCACACATCTGCTGGAGCCAACAGTTTGGGGTCCCCACCTAATGTCTGTTGACCCCTCAATGACATCTATTTTATATATGAATGATGTCAGTTACACCTCCAAATGTCCAAACTTGCCTGTCTCACTATCTCCCTCCTCCTGGAACAGAGAGACAAAGTATATAAACAAGATACTTTACAAGTCCAGCTACTACCAGGGGCCTGGCAGCACCAAATCGTGGGAGCCTGTGCCTATCCCATCACACTAGCTACCTGGTGCCTCTCCTACAGAAAGCCCGCCCACCTCTGCACCTCTGGGTTCCCACTCTGGTACATTCTTCACCAAGCTCTTTAATCTCAACTTCACTTTCCATCTTCAAAGTCACCTCCCCAAGGAAGCCTTTCCTACCACCCCATTTTATTATTCTGGGGTATGAAATTCACTCATTTTCTTGACCACATGTACCCCAATTTATAATTTTTCACTTAGAAAATCTCTCTCTCAGTAGGCCATCAGCTTATAGAAAATACATGTAAAGGCTCACCATGTGTCCCTCAGCATCAAGTACAGCATCAGATTATTATGTAATAGATCCTATTCCCAGACTAAAGGGTTTTAAACATAACTAATGTCCTTAATTATCTCTTTTGACTTCTATATGTAAAAAATATACTAAAATAAGTACATTGAAATGTGCATATAAAATATGGTACTATTGGCGGAACTAATTATGATACAGTATTAAACGTCCAATTGTGAATTAGTTTTGCAATACACAGGGTCTTCAGGCTTTGCATCCTGGGGTAAAATGTCTCTCCATGAAAATACCAACATGGCAGAGCTCCAAGGGATGCTAATTACGTCAATGTATCCCATAATGGTATTATAACACACATCTATAGGCATCTTAAACATCAGTTCACAATTTTTTTAAAGACTGAATGGATTTTGGTTCCAATGGTCACAGTACAGATCTCACAGTGACAGAGAATTCCAAATATCTGATCTAAAAAACCCCATAGGTTCATACAACTTTAGGAAAAAACGTGATCTTTTGGCTTTCCATGGGTCTTTATCTACTGAGAAGTGAATAATTAGGAAGAACAATTTAATAGAAGGAAAATTCAATGTACCTGTCACCTTTAGAAGTTGAGTTTCATAAAACTAGTCTAATAGGGGTAATGGTGACAGGCTCATGACTCATGTCAAACTCCGTGGTGTACATTCTTCCTACATAACCCTATTCTTAGAAAGCTCAAAATAGCAACTTGGTATATGCTGCACTACAATTTTCTCTAAAAAACCCCATGCCTAAAGCCCACCACCCCATGAGAAGCAGGCTACGTACCCGTCCAGGGACATAAAACAGACGGAAGAGGACTTCTCGTTAGACTGGTCACGCCTGGTAGACTGCCTCAAGACAGATGAGCCTCTGGCAAGTCTAACCCCAGAACCCTTTCTGAAAGCACAAGTGAGAAATTGAAGTTATATAATTACCAAATGAGGTAAATTTCCTGTTCCCCTCTACAAAATTCTGAAGGATCAACAAACTCCAAAGATTATTCCATGTGAAAGTTCATCTCTGGACGTAAAGACAGAAGGAGAAAAGAATGGAGGGACAGAAGGAGGGGGCGTTCAAATCAAGTGTGTGGTAGGTAAACAAACCCAAAGTCTGCACGTACAGTGCAGTACTGGTGCTCATTACAGACTGCCGGCCTGTCGAAGGGGCGTTCCAAAATGTACGTGAGGGAGACAAAAGGGGAACGATAAACACGTTGCTCTAGTTTCACATTGTTGCTGAAACAGCATGTTCTAACCAAAACCAATTTAGAGAGAGGGCTTATTACAGGCTGTAGCTCATCAATGAAAACAGAAACCTAAGGAGGAGCATGAGAAGCAGAATCATGGAGCGATGCAGCCTGCTGGCTCACCACAGGCTCAGGCTGAGCTAGCCTCTACGGCCCAGGACCACATGCCCAGGGAATGGTGATGCCCATGGTGGGCTGGGCCCTCCTCCATCAGTTAACAGTCAAGACAATCACTCACAACCATGCCAGAGGCCAATCTGATCTGGGCAATCCCCAACTGAGATTCCCTTCTCAGATGGTTTTTAGGCTGTGTCAAGCTAACAAGTAAATCTAGTTACTAGTAAATCTAGTAAAACAGACATATTGAGCGGTCAGTTTCATTAATATAACAGAAACCTAATGAAGGTAGAATCCATACATTTTTAATAACTTCGTATCTGTGAGCTAGATCTATCAACACAACCTACAACTTTGTTGATCTTTGAAAGATTTTCAAAAGATAGCACTAACTATCCTTTAAAGGTTTAACTATCCTTTAGTTAGGCACAGAAGTACCTATATCCAAAGGTTTCCTACATTTTAATACCAGCTGTCTTTTTAGAGATGCATAAAATAATGCATCTTATAATTTACAGGTTTTTAGTATTGATGAAATAAACATTCTCAAAGTTTCTAAAGCAAGTTTGTATTAAGGTCAGTCCTGAAAACAAGTGAGGCTCACTGGAAGACTGGAGGAGGGCTGAAGGAACAGGCCGCCACAGTCCACAGATGCCGGTTTTAGGAAGCAGCCCCATGAGCTCTCCTAGTGGATTCTATTGCTCTTGGGAATGCCTAGAAGCTACTTCTTTGAGCAATGTACAACACACATCCATCAGCTACTGATACAACTCTACACCCTCATGCTATTTAAGGTGCAATATAGAGTACGTATTACCCATTTCTCATTCACCAATGTTTAACCACCCTCAGGATCAACCTGGTATTTGGAATAACACCAAAAAAAAAAAAAAAAAAAAAAAAAAAAAAAAAAAAAAAAAAAAAAAAAAAAAAAAAAAAAAAAAGGACTTGATTAGAAGCAAAAACAGGCTGTCATAAGAATTTCAATGAAAGCTAGTTAACTCTCTGGAAGCTGAGAGATGGGCCATAAAAGATGCCAATTCTCAGCTCCAAGCACATCCCACCATGAGAAGCACAAGCAACACAGGGTCCTGGACCAAAGCCTCAGTTGACTGAGCAGCAATGTAGCCTGTTAGCTTTTGCCAAGACAGGGAGTGCACCACAACACGTATCTCGGTACTCGTCAAATCCTCCAAGCCCCCAGCTGCCTTGCTCAACCAGCGGCATTCATTCCTCTAGACTTCTAGCAGCAGCAGAATGATTTTTCTCCCCTGGTTAACAACAAGCAGAGTGGCCTGCACATGAGAAGCTCCCCATAAATATTA